CCCCCCCCCCCCCCCCCCACAACACAGACTGTTTGAATAAAAGGCATGCAGCAACATGGACCCTGCATCCATGTTGGAGAGGTGGTATTCAGACACACACGGCAGAAATGCACCTGGCTGGGTTAGGTGTTTGCCTAGCCCAATTGTGCAGATTAGCTGAACATCCTCTTAAGAGCTTTACAGTGTTATTTGTTTTAGAAGGTTGCAAAATTTTCCATTATGCCCCAGCTAATCCGAAACAGAGAAGCCAGCCAAATCCATTCTGCCCACCCACCACTGCTTACCCACTGTTTTAGGAATTTAACACAGCAATCTGAAGCAGAGAAACTTCCTGCCATCTGATGACTCCAGTTTCAAAGAAAGCCTCATCTCAAGATTAGGGAAAGGCTGGTTAGACAGCAGTGTGAGCTGCACTGATGACAACTGCTGAGGTGGTAGCTCATATACACCTGGGTCCAGCTGAACTGCATTAGTCAGACAAAGATGGACATAAAACACAAGGGGCACCTATACACGAGCAACAAGGCTGTTCCGACATGCTGTAATTACAGCACCTTGGAGTAGGCATGATTAATCAATTCTGCTGGAATGTGATAATTACCATGCTCCAAGAGACTCCAGCATCACGTGCATCAACATCCCCGCACTTAAAAATAGTGGTGGGGGCTAAAGAGTTAAAGCACCCCTGCCACCATTTTTTAAGTGTGGGGAGTTGATACACAAGACACTCCAGGTGCTTTAAAATTAGAGCACCTCTTGGAGCTGCTCCAATTAAAGCACCCCCCAACCAGAGCGCATGTATAAATACCCAAGGTGTTCCTCTTCTTCTACTCCTGGAGTAACACTTTCATTTGAGCAGTGAAATCAAGTTCAATTCTTCCTTGGTAAAAATTTCAGAAGCTGACCCACAGGGACCCTCATTCAGAGCCACCACAAATGGCCAAATACACCCCCAGCATAATGCCACTAAGTGGTGGAATTGCACCACAATGTATATGGCTCAGCATCCTCTCTTGTATTGAAAAATGCTTTGATTCTCCTATGGGTATTTTAATACTATGTTCTATTAATTCCTCGGCCATCTGACTATGAAATTGCAATTAAAGTATCACTACCATAATTCTGCCTTCAGCAAAGGCATTTTTCTCCCCTTAAATGAAAGTAAGATTTATGGTACCTAAATACATGCACTGTATACTAGAATGAGATTTAAAATACTGGCTAATTCTAGCCCAATGGTGGAAATGTTATTGCAAATTCCTATATGTGGAGACATTTATAGGGAAGCATGTCCAGAATTCTCCGTTATTTCTTCCTTCTACAATGGATTATACTTATTTTTCCATACAATTTTAAAAGAAGATGCTTTCACATCCTTTAAGTTTTCCAAGGTTAAAACAAATAAGGCAGCGATGTCCTTTGTCTTTACTGCTTGTACTGCAGCTAGAGTAATATATCTCCTAATATTCATAAGGTCACTCCATCAGGAAATGTAAGAAGTGCCTGGAGAAAATCTTTTAATCATGGAGATAACTGTTTATGATAGCTGTCTGTTTTTAATTAGTCTACATGCCCACTCTCAGCCGTGGATTCCCAGAGAGGATTCTTGTAAGCAAGGCTTCTTTCTGTATTTGCAAGCTAGATTTTGTATGTAGGCAAGACCTCTACCCACATTCCTTGCAAGTCTTCCCTAGGAGTTTTCTGATCATAAACAACTACAAAACTATTTTCCAAGTAAAAAAGTTGCATTTAAAATGAGTTGTTTGAGCAGGAAATATGCTCTCAAATCACAGCTAAGGGGAGTTGGGACAAAATATTAGAAAACTGCATTAACTTAATAGGGGCTATCTACCATAGACTTAGGTGTCCTTTAGCCTGTATACATAACAGGCTTCCCCAAAGGAGAACAGTCATACTTTAATGCAACTGTTACTCTTAAAATGCCACGCAATTTTAAAAAAGGTAAGCTAAATTGTATAGGAGTCTTGACAAAGTGCAAGTGTCTTCTCCAGACTCTAGTGGGCAAGAAATCCACGACAAAAATCTAATTCCTATCAACCTAGAGAACATTTTTTTGTTTTCAAACTATGCACCCAGCAATCATCTCTCACCTTATTTCCATTACTAAGAACAGAAACAACTTAAATTGACTTAAATCGTGTCATTAGTTGGTTCCTAGAGGTCCCACTAGACAAAAGCAAGTTCTCTTTTGACTTTAGATAAAAGTTGAGCGCCCCGCAAGAACAAATTTTTCAAAGGTATTTAGGTGCCAAATCCCACAAACTTCAATAAAGGTGTGATCTCATCCTTTGTGCCAAGAGCTTCACTGAGAGCATCCTGCCTCCAGAACCCCAGTGATCAAATCTAAGGCTATTACATAAGCATCCCAGCCAATCACAATTTCCAGGATGGTGAAGAAGCAGGGGCTGAGCCTACCCCATAACTGAATGGTAGAGATTAAAACAGCCATCTCAGATTGCAGCTAGAAACAACCACCACCACCAGACACATCTACATGAGACTAGAATTTTAGTGCCAAGCAAAAGAGCAATGCTAAGAAAGTATAGTGCTAGACTGGATGCTCCAGATACTGTCTGAACTGCATTTCAACTGTCCAATTAACAAAGAACAGTGAACACAGAAAACCCTGGTAAGGCTTGCAGTTCCAAGGAAGGTTTATAGCATCTGAGACCAACACCAATATTTAATGACCCTAAATGCAGGGGTCAATTATAAAAGTGCTGCAAGCAATTTCTCACTGTCATTTCAATGTGTTCTGGGTGGAAGAGCCCACTGAAGAAGCTTAAAAGCAAAGGCCCAGGACAACACTCTGTATCTGGCTTGATCAAGATGTCAAATCTGGGTAATACAATCCAACTCAAATTTATTCTAGGCAGAATAGTAAGTAATATCAATACGAACACCTGTTCAGTACCCCCTCTTTGGGGGTCATTATTTAATATGTGCAGACACCACACCTCTGTACAAGTTAAATTACCCATTATCTCCATTCTGGCAAATGGGGAAACTGAGGCAGAAGCATCAACAGCTGTGGAATTAGAATTCGGGAGTTTCTGGCTCAAATAATACATGCAGGCCTCCCCAGACTCTCTGTAGCAAGAGTGGAATTGGGAACAGGATAAACTAAATGTGTGACAGCACTGTGTTAGATAATGAGCTCCCACACTATTTAGGATATTAAGCTTTTCAATCCTGTCCAGCAAAACAACAATTTCTATAGCTGCCCATCCTTGTCCTAAACTTGCAGCCAGCATCTTTATGAACATTGCAAGCCAGCTATATCAGAGAAGGATCATAAAGAAAAATCTTAATATTGACATTCACAGCATGCGACACCAAGATGGAAACGAGCCTCTACTTTATTATAAACCAGCATTTGGAAGAGGACGTGGGAAGGAAAAGTAACTCACATGGCGCGTGGAACATCACCAGGACAGACGAATGCTCCTTGATAAACTTGTCAAAGTCTTCATCAGTCAGGTGATAAACTGCGCTCTCCTCATCTGCCCAGGGAGTCTCTGGGGCCTGCGGCTGCGGTGGCACAGGGCTATAAAACAAAAGACGTAGCTGAGAGGAAGCTCTTTGGTGATGAATAACAACTGCTGCAGCCAATCAGATTGTGGGGAACCAATTTGATTTCTCAACGCTGCTGCATGACATGCTAACCTCACCAAATGGGGTTCTTTAATTGGTTCCACTCTGAGCTGATAAGCACTGAAACCTAGATAAAAATGGAGGAGGGGAAAATCCATCATGAGCAGAAGCTCCTGTTTCTGCTGTCCACAGAAGCAGGTAGAGTGGAGAGATAAAAAGAGCCACTTTTGTTATTTCATTGTAAAATAAGACATGGGGGGGGGGGGGGGTTTTT